CGTGCTGGCAATGGTGAGAGCGTACATACAAACTTACTGTGTTCAAAGTCCCGTGTGGCTCCAATCAAATGTCTCACTGCGCCGAAGCTTGAGCTATGTGCAGCCTATTTGCTTGCGCAGGTAGTGCACTCCATCGCCCAACTAAACATTTTTCGTTGTAGGTTTTATTGTTGGTCAGACTCCAGCATTGTACTAGCATGGTTGAGAGAGGACTCATCCCGCTTCATCGTGCTCGTGGCCAATCGCATCAGCAGCATTCAAAATCTCACAGATGGTATGGAGTGGAGCTATGTTCCAACAGCTGCAAACCCTGCTGATATACTATCACGCGGAGCAACACCAACTGAATTATCTAATTCTACATTATGGAAACATGGGCCGTCGTTCTTACTAAATGCGCACAATGAGTGGCCTAAATTGTGCGCTCAACATCAAGAGCTTCCAGAAGCTCGTAAAAGTTTTTTGCTATCGGCATGTTTTCATATTTCAGCAAACTGCAAATACATAACCTCGTTTTCTTCCATGCAACGCATCTACGGTTACGTCTATATGTTTATTAAGAAGGATAGCTTTCACCACCAATCATTTTCACCTTAAATATTTGCACGTAGGTCCTCAACACTGCTTGCAACAATACGGTTACAATATTGGCCAATAGAAGGTCGGAAAACGGAGGCACAGGTCGTCGACAAATGCATCATATGCTTTCGTGCCAAACCCAGATTAATGGAGCAAATAATGGCAGATTTACCTGTGGAACGAGTACAAGCGGCTAGATCATTTTTTACTACAGGAATCGGTTTTTGTGGTCCGTTCTACTATCAGTCGAAAATTCGGAATAGATAACCGCTGAAGTGCTACATCGCCTTGTTTATTTTCTTTGCCCCGAAGGCAGTTCATCTTGAACTTGTCAGAGACCTGTCGACACCTGCCTTCTTGGCTGCGTTGCAAAGGTTTATCAGTACACGAGGTAAACCTAAAACAATTTGGACTGACAACGCAACAAACTTTGGTGGAGTCAAAAACGAGTTGCTGGAACTAAGGCGGTTATTTTTGAGTAGCGAGCATCAGGACAAAGTCCGAAAACAATGTGCCGAAGATGGCAGCGAATGGAAGTTTATACCGCCCAGATCGCCCCATTTTGGAGGACTCTGGGAAGCAGCTATTAAATCAGCGAAATTTAATTTCTATAGAGTCGTAGGTTCTTCGAGGTTGTCTTTCGAAGAACTCCGCTCGCTTGTCTGCCAAATATCGGCAATTATTAATTATCGACCTCTTACTCCACTTACAGAGCATCGTGATGATCTTGCAGTCCTCACACCCGCACACATTTTGATTGGCGGCCCTTTCACAGCTACAGTTGAACCAGACATCACAGATTTAAACATTAATAGACTCAATCGTTGGCAGCGTATATCTTACATTCAAGAGGTGGAGTACAGAATATCTCACACAGTTACAACGATCCAAGTGGCGTACCCAAAAGAAAAATCTTAAGTCTGGTGCTCTAGTACTCATCAAAGATGAAAATCTACCGCCGCTTCGCTGGCCGTTGGCACGAGACATCGACATAATTCATGGACCTGATGGTGTACCGCGCGTAGCAAAGCTGCAAACAAGTTCTGGAGTCACGAAAAGAGCTACCGCTAAACTATGCTTGCTGCCACTAGAGGATCATCTTGAAATCTTAAACTTTCAACCGGCGGAGGATGTTGGGAACCACTGCAATGTATAGCAGTTTGCCTTTGCGATCGTTTTCAATACTTGTCATTTATACTAAATTTTCACTCAAGCACTACATACTTGCTCACATTGCTAAGATTGTGTATTTCTCATTTCACTCGTTTTCTGTACCACTAATCTCTTTCCATAATTTACTGTAATATTTTTTGGTATATACATTTTTGGTATTTAAGAACTTTCTTAACTTATATATAACTACTTAAAAAAATACATTTTCGAATAAAGCATACCGTGGTCGAGACAAATCAGTCTCCAGACTCTTAACAGTGGGTTTTATTGAAAGCTGAGGTAGTTCAGCCGCTAACCCCCACTGAATAAACTAAACACAGTAGTTTAATGTAGCGAACACAACCACACACACGCGGCTGTTCGGCCAGAATGCCGGTACCTTGACGCCTAAGAAAAGAGAGGGAGATACTGCGAGGGAGAGAGACTAACTGGTCGACGGTCGGCGTCGTGGTTCAGAGAGCGGAGACTGTCTAGTGGCTAGTGGCGGTGACGGTCTGGTGATTAATGATGATGATAGTGAGAGCGGAGACGGTTCGGTGATTAATGATGACGACAGTGAGAGCGGTAACGAGCGTGATGATCAGGCATGGGCAAAGAACGAGCACACGCTCAAAGAGCATAATCATAACGTGTACGTATGCAAGCAAGAGCGTAACGATGAGAACGCGGCAGCATGCAAAATGAATTAGGCAAACTAACACATTCTGACTTTTAGCGATCGCTTGTTTGTGGCAGTGCACACCTCTGGTGATGATGGTAAACGCTCACAGCACGGGTACTGCAGCCAATGAGAGCGGCAATGCTGATCGTGACGGCAGTAGTAGTCCCTTGTAGTAGTGACGGCCCGGCGGTGATGTTGACGGTGGCCCAAATAGTGGCAAGGGCGGTAGCGATCACCCGTAGTGAGAGTAGTATTGGCGGCCCTAGTTATGACAACGAACCCCTTTCCGTTACGACGGGGACGGCGGCCCTTAGCGGTGATGGTGACTGGCCGTACCTGGGGCGTCTGATGCTCGCGGCGGGGAGTAACGGTGGCCCAGGGCGGTGAGAGCGTTATTGGCCCGGCTGTTTGACGAAGATGATAACTTCGGCCCTGTTTAGTAACGGAGATGACGGCGGCCCTGGAAGGCGATGATGGTAGCGGCCCTTACAGCCAGCAAGTAGCGGTCCTCGGCAGCGGGTCTGCCTAGGGGCGGCAAATGGCGTCGGCGGCGCCGATGGTGACGAAGGTGATACTTCGGCCCTAATAGGTGGTGGCGGTGCCAGCGGCCCTGGATGACGATGGTAAGGTGAGCGGTCCTGAGAGGTGGCGGTGCTTGGCAGCGGCTTCGGCCTAGGGGCGGCAGTGATTTCGGCGGCCCGGTGAACGCGAAGAGGGTACTCGGCCCTAATAAGTAATGGCGTTGACAGCGGCCCTGCGTGACTTTGGCCCAGGGGCGGCAGATAGTGTTGGCGGTCCGAACGCTCACCTGCAAAAGCTACGGAAGCTGGTTAGTATGGCCCCAGGGCGGCAAGGCAGCCCATTACCCCCTCTAATGTATCAAATCGTGGCTGCTTGGCATTGTGGGGCATGTATACCCGCCTCGGCACAGTGACTGCTCGCCACGCGGTATTCTAAGAGGGAGGAGAGTTTGTATCCTGTCCACTGAGACTGTTGGCAAAATGATGGGTTTGGGGTTTGTGCGAGGGGTATTCCCCCTTTTACAGGCCCCTTCAACCTCTTGGCCTTTCCCGTAGGAAGAGCCAGGGGCGCTCGAGGTCTTATGGCCTAAGCCTCCCGATGCGCTCCGTACGCAACTGTGAAATCTGTTAAGTTTTCAACAGTAACTATTTTTAAATAATAAAGCAACTTATTTTTCAAGTCTCTTATAAAGCCGATGTCTTCTGAGGTAACAGTGCATTTCTTTTGTAGAATAGCTATATGAATATACATCAGGTAGATAATTAAATAGTTTAGTAAAACTAATATATTTAAAAAAATACTTCATCAATATCCATTTTTTCAAAATTGTCGTATTCTCTACTAATTGTTTGAAGTCAATGGGCCGTATGAATAAAAATAAGCAATTGCTTTTTCTTAAAATGTCAGATCTTTTACTCAATTTATTCAAACAAAATTGAAGTAAAATGTATGAAATTTTAAGAAAAAGCAATTGCTTAGTTTTTATTCATACGGCCCAATGAGTGTAATTCGATTGCTCGACTTGCTTTTCATAACAGCATTTTTCACTCGCTTGACTTGATTTGGAAAGAGTATATCAATGCCATATTTGAAATCAAATGAGTACACTGCAGCTATACATTTCAAAACTAACTATGAATCTCACTGTTTGGACGGTGTTTCTCACTAACCTTATACAGTTCACAGCAATGAGTTCATATTGTTTAGATGGAAGTGAGTAAACTCATGCTGTTGTCTCGTAGATATGTACGTATATACATATATATGTTAGTGTAGCGTAGGGGAGCTACGTTACAAAGCATAGGCGTCAGTTCTGCACAGTCACTGTCAAACGAAAAGACTTAAGGCCGGTCCACATAGAACTTTCGCGTTGGCTTTGGCGTTGGCGTTGGTTTGACAGAACGCACGTTAAAAGTATGCTTGCTACAATGAACGCTTGGCAGCGAATCCTTGGGCCACTAAATTAACATACTAACGACAGATAAATTAATATTTCATATCAGTAATTGCATTAAAAACGATATTTCTTGCCCGCACTTGATTAAAAAGGAAAAATATTTCACATAATTTTATTTATTTGCAACAGCTGACGAGCGACGCACGCGAAAAGTTGAGAGTTGGCCATCTTTTTGTGTTGGCATGAGCGTTGTCGAATTTTGGCTATATGGACGGCTGCATTTGAATTCATGTATTCATAGTCAGCTGTTGAAGCGACGCCAACGCCAACGCAACGCCAAAGTTCTATGTGGACGGGCCTTTAGCCTCTGGATGTGTAATAATCGGAGGAGGGTTGCTACCTGTTTTAAAAACTATAAGATGTTCGTTGGATAAAAAAATGAAATAACAAATGAAAGTGCATGGCTTTCGCATGTACGAAAACTTTAAGTTTTTTGAGTAAGGTTGCCACCTATTTAAAATTACTATCTTCTATAAATAGTACAAAGGAAAGGCGAGATATTTTAATCATCCTGCCGAACGGATTTAGACAAGATTTTCTATGTATATAATAAACGAAGTACATGAGGACATATGATTTCTTTCTCCAAATACTTAAATGTACATATATGTGCATCCGTGTCCGGCTAGTATAATATATTTGAAATGAGAAAAGACCACAGAGAAACTGGATATAATAGAAAATCAAGAGCACTTACATATGTACGTTACTCCAAGCTGGATCAGCAGTCGCCTGGTGAGTTGCCACGGTGTGGTGAGTCAATGCTCTTCTTAAAACTAGGTCATACATACTACATAAATATTTACATGTTCTCAATTTAGCACAATTCAAGTTCAAGGTGAATGCTATTTTTTTACATTTTCGCACACGATACCGCTACGAAATGAGCAAAATTTAAGTTCAATGAGAATTCAATTTTTAGATTTTTTACAAATGATCCCGCTACGATCTTATGCACTGCCAATGACGGTGTGAAAATTTATAAAGAGGGGGATGTTAGGTCGAAACAACAATTTAGTTACTATTTTTTTTCCTTTAAGTTTTTTTCTTCTTGATATACTATTTAATTACATATGCATATTATAATGTCGACAATCTAAATAATAATTTTTTCCTAATTTCAAGATCTGATTGGTCTATTTTGACATAGAATTCCAAATAAGTCATCAAGTAGACTCTCAGACACAATTTACAATTGTATTAGAAATTTAATACTAAAAAAAATCGCTGTTTAAAATATTAAGACCTTTTTTTCTCTAATCATAAGGAATGGATCTGCTTATAGCGCACGTAGGAAATTTATGGTATTTTTGTATGTCTCAGCTGCTGAGCGTAGATCTACTCGCTGCCGCAAGGATCGACCACGCTTACTAGGGGCAAGTTGGAGTTTCTGCTATTCGGTGGCTTGCTGGGAAGATTGGTGTTTGCCTTTTGCCACAATTAAGCTGATGCCAGATAAAACTTTGTAGCTTTGCGTGACATTTATAACTTTGCCAGCAAAGCGCCAGACGCAAAAGGTATGCCACAATGAACGCCAAGAAAACAATGTTGTACCGCTTTTTTACTCATCAAAGTTGCTGTGGATTTTAATTATTTTGATTTAAAATTATCAGCAATGTAATTAAGTTTTATGTTTCTGCATGAAAACCCGAATTTGGACGAAACAAAATAAATATTAAACCGGCTGATTGTCAAAGCGCGCAAAAAGATGGGAGTTGACCATCTTTTCGCTTCGCGCTGCCGCTTCAACGATTTATGTGGCATGCTTTGTGCATTTTCATACAATTCATCTTATCTGTCAAAGCGAATCTGTCACGCAAAGCGAAGCAAAAGTTTTATGTGACATCAGCTTTATTCTCCGCTTGCATAAGCTTCCACGTGATGGTATCCATCAGCACGGTGTCTGATGATGATAAAAAAAAACGGCCGTAGCCAAAGGATTTGCTACTCAAAGATCGCAATTGTTTTAAAATACGAGTACCTTGCTATTTTCTGCGTCGATACCCGGAGTTTCAGTGTACAATCTATACTTTTTAATTTTATTTGAATCGACGAATAAAACACGTTATGCCGCTAATGCTTAAGACATATATGTAATACTCCTATATTGGCAGTAAGAGCTAGTACCGTCCGAAAACACTACAGTACAGATATATCAATCAACACGTACGAAAGAAAAGGAACACATACGTTTATAAATAAACATGTACACGACACATTTACAAAAACGGCACTCAAGTACACAATACATTGACAAAAACCGTACTAGACTGTCTCGCTTTGATTTCGGAATGCTTACACATTGAGATGTTAGCTTACTACCAATATAGAAGTATTACATATGGGCATTCCCATGGTGGCGCACGTGACAGTCGTACGATTTTAATGTGATACAAAAAAGGAATACCATTTGTTTTCTTTAACTTTTTTGGGCCATTGTATAGCACATAATAAGCTCTATATTTAACCGAAAAATGAAATCAATCGAACTGCTTGGTCCTGAAATATAAACATTTAAAGAGAGGGTCGTTACGTGACAAAAAATGGAAGTTGATTTTTTCTTTTCTTACAAAATCGCAAAACTCTGCGAATTGTGGATGGCTATTTTCATGAAACTTATTTTAATATGATTTGGAGCAATTCTAGTTGTTTTTAGAGTTTTTTGAATTAATGCAAATTGTTTCAATTCTCTTTTACAACCCCAAGTGTGAAACGTGACGTGACGTGGCGTCACGTGACATAAATTTCCATCGTTATATTTTTGTTAATATTGCTTTTAAATGAATTTTTAACGCAAATAAAACATGTATTTTATGTAGAATATACTTTATATTTTGACTTCAGCGCCAATTCAGGGTCAATTTATTAGAAATCTATGATTTATTATGTTTCAACCACATACGCCAAATTCGAACCAAATCGGACCATAAATACGGTTTTTCGAAATATCTCGACCTTGGCACCACCTAGGAAGACCATTTTATGCAAACATGATTCTACTTACATAGCCAGTATATATTTTAAAAAGCAGACAAATCGGCCCGTAAATACGTTAGATATAAAACTTTTATTTTTTTTGTCGTGGTGGACCTTCCGCTGGAAACACCCATATATGACTTAAGAGGTGTTTTACTTAACACAACTGGTCACGTTGACGATCGGGATTAAAAAGGCAGAATCTCTCTTAGCGGAAGTCCAGCTTCACAATTTCTCACACATTTTGACAGCCGATCCGTACTTTTCACTTCCCTCCAGGGTTATATAAAATGTCTAACATAACACAATTTTTAAGACATAGGCCCGTAGTCATAAAGAAGTTAGAAAAATATTTCACGATTCCAAATTGAGTTTTCTGGTAATCACCATTTTAACTCTTTCATAGTCAATTTAAAATGAATTTTATGGTAAAAACTGAATTTTAACTTCAAAAATGAGGAGCACGTGATTTGAAAGTGGTAAAATAAGGTTCTAAGCTTCGATTTGCTGTTGAAGTAGTAAATGCCGTAGCACCTAGGTTCGAGCCGCAATCCGAGCGATTCTAAAAAAAAAATATATATGTTTTTTCCCCATTATTAGGTACCTTAATTTTATTAGATTTATTATTATTATCTTTCCCTTTTTTTGTTTATAGGATTACCCATAACTATTTCAAGTTAATCAAATTCTTATTGAAGTGAAACTTCTTTAGCGGCGGTTGGTTGGTTGGGAGTAAATTTGGCAAATTCAACGGAAATTGCACACGGAAATGGTGCAACGGAAGTGTTGCAACGGAAATGTTGCAATGGGAATGGTGCAAAGAAAATGGTTGGGGCTGAAACANGAAATCTATGATTTATTATGTTTCAACCACATACGCCAAATTCGAACCAAATAGGACCATAAATACGGTTTTTCGAAAAATCTCGACCTGGGCGCCACCACCATGGTCTTCCATTTTATGCAAACATGATTCTACTTACATAGCCAGTATATATTTTAAAAAGCAGACAAATCGGCCCGTAAATACGTTAGATATAAAACTTTTATTTTTTTTGTCGTGGTGGACCTTCCGCTGGAAACACCCATATATGACTTAAGAGGTGTTTTACTTAACACAACTGGTCACGTTGACGATCGGGATTAAAAAGGCAGAATCTCTCTTAGCGGAAGTCCAGCTTCACAATTTCTCACACATTTTGACAGCCGATCCGTACTTTTCACTTCCCTCCAGGGTTATATAAAATGTCTAACATAACACAATTTTTAAGACATAGGCCCGTAGTCATAAAGAAGTTAGAAAAATATTTCACGATTCCAAATTGAGTTTTCTGGTAATCACCATTTTAACTCTTTCATAGTCAATTTAAAATGAATTTTATGGTAAAAACTGAATTTTAACTTCAAAAATGAGGAGCACGTGATTTGAAAGTGGTAAAATAAGGTTCTAAGCTTCGATTTGCTGTTGAAGTAGTAAATGCCGTAGCACCTAGGTTCGAGCCGCAATCCGAGCGATTCTAAAAAAAAAATATATATGTTTTTTCCCCATTATTAGGTACCTTAATTTTATTAGATTTATTATTATTATCTTTCCCTTTTTTTGTTTATAGGATTACCCATAACTATTTCAAGTTAATCAAATTCTTATTGAAGTGAAACTTCTTTAGCGGCGGTTGGTTGGTTGGGAGTAAATTTGGCAAATTCAACGGAAATTGCACACGGAAATGGTGCAACGGAAGTGTTGCAACGGAAATGTTGCAATGGGAATGGTGCAAAGAAAATGGTTGGGGCTGAAACAAGTGCTTCTTGTGTGTATGCATATGGTATTAATTTAACAAAAATTTGCTTATAAAAGGTTAAAGAATAACACTTAGAACAAGACCAATACAAGAATGAAAGTAAAGGTGAGTACGTACATAGATAAAGAAAAGGATAAAGGCAGAGGTAAAAATAAACACAAAAATGAAGACCCAAGGTAAATTCAAACATCACTTATATAAGGGCAAAGGTGAAGTGGAATATGTACATTAAAGTGGTCCAAAAATGTATGTTAAGGACGCATTTTTAATGCCGCCAGCCCCTAGGATTGTTCTGAACCGAAAATAAATATACCCATATTTTTTTATTTTAAAATCAAAAAATATTTAGGGAGTGCCCACAGCGGTCAAGTTTTCCATGTATTTTATATGGGGAAACAAATTATCGTAAAAATGGTATACAACTCTTGAAAATCAATATGTTTCAATCGAAAAACTAGGGTTCTCTTCAGGAGACTTCAAATATTTTATTATTTTGGACCATTCTAATGTACGTAGCTGAAGAAAATGATAAACATAAAAGTAAAGGCAAAGAGGAGGATGAGGATACCGATAAAAGTAAAGATGAAGATAGGGGAAGAAATATTAAAATAAAGGTAATTAAAGAGGAAAGGATATAGAGAGAGACACAGAGACTCAATCTGAGAACTATTTTGGGATTTTAGAGATTTTCGAGATTCTCGAGACATCGATAAAATAATCGATATTTTTATCGGTTTTGTTATCGATATTTATCGATTTTGTTACCGATATTTACCGATTTTGTTATCGATATTCATAGATTTTTTATCGATAACTATCAATTTTGTTATCGATTCTTATCGACTTTGTTAGCGATATTTATCGATTTTGTTAGCGATATTTATCGATTTTGCTATCGATATTTATCGATTTTGTTATCGATATTTATAGATTTTGTTATCGATATTTATCGATTTTGTT